CCAGGTGTGTGCCAGGTGCGCTGTCTCACCTGAGAAGCACTCGGTGAACTCCTGCTCCAGTTTGGTGGCTCTGTCGAACGCTTTCCGCGCCTGCTCCTCGCTCACGCGCTTGGAGATCTCCCTGCGGGGGCGGGGCCGGCTGGGACACGCCCACCTCACCTGGCCACGCCCATCTCCCACCACCCACCTCACCTGGCCACGCCCACAGCCCCCTCCCGACACGCCCAGCGCACCTGGAACTCCCAGGACACGCCCACAACTCCTCACAAGCCCCGCCCACAGCACGGCGCCATTCACGAGGCCACGCCCACTCATTAAAACCACGCCCACCCGCACCTGTCAATCACGGGGGCACACCCACTGGGAGTTGAAGCCACACCCATTATGCAAATGAGACGTGCCTGCTTCAATGGCCACGCCCCCTCCTGCCTCAGGTTCCCCCTCTCTGTGCTCAAACCACGCCCCTAAAGCCTCCCAGAATCCCTGCCCAGGTGTGCCCAGGTGTATCCCAGGTGCCCCAAGTGCCCCCAGGTGTATCCCAGATGTATCCCAGATGTATCCCAGATGTATCCCAGGAGCCCCCAGGTGTATCCCAGGAGCCCCCAGGTGTATCCCAGGTGTACCCAGGAGCCCCCAGGTGTATCCCAGGTGCCTCCAGATGCCCCCAGGTGCGCCCAGGTGCCCCCAGGTGTATCCCAGGTGCCCCCAGGTGCGCCCAGGTGTATCCCAGGTGCCCCCAGGTGCGCCCAGGTGCCCCCAGGTGCCCACAGGTGCCCCCAGGTGCGGCCAGGTGTGCCAGGTGAGCACTCACAGCACGTTCTGCAGGGATTTGGGCCGGATGAAGATGGCGATCGGGTGCAGCTGCGCCGCCTGCAGCCTCCGCACGGCGTTGGCCGACACGTCCAGGATGCAGTGCTTGCCCTGCAGGTGAGCACAGGTGAGCACAGGTGAGCACAGGTGAGACACAGGTGTGCCCCAGGTACCCCCAGGTATGACCCATGTACCCCCACACACGTCCAGGATGCAGTGCTTGCCCTGCAGGTGACACAGGTGAGCACAGGTGTGCCCCAGGTGTGCCCAGGTGTGTTTTCACACCTGTCCAGGTGTGTCCTTACCTGTTCAGCCACCTCTCAAGGACTGCACACTCATCCCATACAGGTGACTGTTGTACTGCCCCGTGCCCAGGTGTATCCCAGGTGTATCCCAGCTGTACCCAGGTGTACCCAGGTGTATCCCAGCTGTGCCCAGGTGTGTTCTCACCTGTTCAGCCACCTCTCTCACGGACTGCACGCTGGTGCCGTACAGGTGACTGTTGTACTGGCCGGCCTCGATGAACTTGTGGCCCTGGATGTCTTTCTCCATCCGCTCCCGCGACGCCACAAAGTGATAATCGCGCCCATCCACCTCGTACTCGCGCTTGGGCCGCGTCGTGTCTGCAGGTGACACACGTGAGACACACCTGGGACACACCTGGGACAGGTAACCCCCCCTGTCATGGGTGATACGTGGGGCCCAGGTGTGCCCAGGTGTGATAATCGCGCCCATCCACCTCGTACTCGCGCTTGGGCCGCGTCGTGTCTGCAGGTGACACACGTG